CGCAGTGAAAGTAAGATACCTGAACGTTGTCGGAAACACAGCAAGATAGAAAGACGTGAAAATTCCCTGATATAAAAAAGTTAGAGTGAGTATCAACATATTCTTGCACACAAATGTATCACCGAGCGATTCTGGAAAAAAGAGTTCAAACTGTAATTCGAATGCTGAAGCTCTTCTTATGCTGGTTATTTATTCAGTCATAACTCTACATAAGGCTGGCAACGAAAACTAGATTGCTACGCTTCGACGTAACCCTAATCTTCGGAAACTCGGAGACAGAAATCAAGCATTTACTCGAGGTACCCAGCAATACACCAAACTACCCTTGAGATCTTGAAGACCAACTGGATCATTCTCGAATTAAGAAGTAAACAGTGCTGGCGTAGTGAAGCCTCCCTCCCTGGAGTGGCTCTACGACCGTACATGCGAAGCATCAAGCTGCGTAGTCTGTCTCAGACCGGAAGACTGTGCGGTTGCCGGTGTGGTCCACTGGATCACCTGTCAAAACTGTATAGGCGAATACACATCAGGGCATCTTTATGGACCGAAGATTCCTTGACATGACAGGGCCGTGTCACTGTATCGACCGCAATAGATTGCCAAGACCCAATGCTCATAAAAGAAGAGAAAGGAAACCCTGGGAAGTTTATCGGATTTCGACCCATGAATCCAAAGATGAGTCGAAAGGGAAGACGAGAGTATTAAAGGAGCTCACCCTCTGCGCAAGGGTAACAGGACACTCAGAAATTTGAGCGCGATTAGTCCGGAGCCTTCCTGGCCGTATATTGGCTGACCGAACTCGCGGTTTAGCGAGGCACGATGCTCGACTTTCTTATTATTAACCTTGTGGACGTATTTCATCTTATAAACCTAGACAGGTAGTTTGATGTTCAGTCCGGCGAAGCCGTACACTATCCTTCTCCTAGGTTCCGAAGAAAACAACCACGTCAAAACTTTAGCCACTTGATTTTATTCCAAACTTCGCATGTAGTTGTAAATTAATATTTGGGAAATAAAAGGCTAATCCAGCGTTGGATTGTTCCCACCCTTCTCCCACGGGCACTCACAATTTCCATGCTAGCAGATCAATGAGTATCGAACGCGATCTCATCATAAACTAATCGTTGGCAAGGACCGTC